GTACATCCCAACATCGAGGGCGTCCTTGACATCTTACACCAGCACACACAGTACATCCCAACATCGAGGAGCTGTGCCCTAGAGCATTCTCAGACACCAGAAGTAACTGAGTCACCACACTCTGACAACCGAGAAGAGAAACCGTTGCTAAACCCAAAGGCCATTTTGGGCCCCTTAGCCACACCCCACGCCCGCACACTGTCGGATGGAAGGTGAGTGCCCCCTGGTGGGCAACCCATCCATTTTTCTTTTAGTAAAAGCTGAAGCTAGGCAGAGGCCTGGGGAAACGCAGTGGAGGGAGGGGCAGGTTAGTTAAAGTTGGGCTAACTGCTGCCTTCTCAAAGAATTGGGGGGAAAGGGGTCAGAGCTGCCACCCGGACCCTCGCCCCATCTCTCCAGAGAGAGGAAAGCGTTGTTTGAAAGCATCACTTGTCACCATCGGGTTTCAATGAAGAAAACTGAGATGCTCACCCAGAAGGAAGGAGCTCAGTGGAACATTCACCATGAAGAGCAGAGAGCTGAATGTGTGGGACCTCCTTAAATATGTCAGTCTGTAACAATACCAACATTGTCCCGTGGACTTTAACCATTGACTGACCCAGGAAGACAGGGACACCTGCTAGGCAAGTAAATCAAACGCCCATCAAGAACTCCCATGTCAAGCAATTATTTGGAATACACATAATTTTGTCATTTATTAAGACGACTGCAGGGCGAGGAGATGGCTAAGAGCACCTGCTGCTCTTGCAGAGGACCTGGCTTCAAGCACTCCATTGGGTAGCTCACAGCATCTGTCACACCAGCTCCAAGCAGATCCCTTCCTCCGGCCTCCGCGGGTACCTGTCTCACACACGGACACCCACAGCACACACCCACACGCACACGATTTAAGACAAAATAACATGCCTTTCAAATAAATGACTAAAAGTGAAGGCCACCTTGCCTGCTCATGAGACACATGTTTGTCCAGCACAGCACAATCCAAGGATGCTGGCCTGGCCCTGACCTGCTGCAGACCTGCGGTAGAAAACCCTAACTCTTCAGCTTGAAGTCTGGCAATTACACGGCTGTTTCTACACTGCAGTCACAGCAGAGACAGCTTCAGAGCCGAGCTGAGGTGCGTCAGGCAGCCTTGGCGGGTGCTACACACAAGGGTACGTGTGTGGCAAAGCCCAACACATCTGCGTGCTGCGTGTGGCTCTAGCAGGTGCCATGTGCTGCTGCCTACTGGTGGTCACTGCACTGGGCATGGAACCCGGGGCTTGTCCCTGCTTCCGTGTTTACTACAGCACAACTCTCCGTGACTAAACGTGCAGTCAGCCAGGATGCCTATCAGTGGACGAGCGGATAAAGGAAAGGACTGAAAGTTTCATCTACTGAGAAACTAAAATTACATGGATTTAAACTAATTCTGGTGCATAGTTCGGTTTGTATGTATCTGTTTCAGTTGTGTGCATACATGGATATTTATATGTATTTGGATATGTTTGTATCTGAACTCAAAAGGAACGAGCATGGGAGAATTACATCCCTGAACTGTTTTACTTAGAACCCTGACCAAAGAGGAAGCACCACGCTCGATGCTTCTTCACTCTCCCCCAGCACAGGGCCCCTGCCCTCCCAATCCACAGCTTAAGGAGGCCCAGGTGTGGATTAGCCACCAGTCCAGGGTGCACAGCTGTTAACTGTGGAAGCTCCGTGTGCAGCTGATTCTGCAGATGCACTGAGAGCAAGGGCTGTCAGCCATGGCGGTTCCCAACCAGACTCCATGGGATGCACCACCCAGCCTGCAGACCCAAAGAAGTTTGTTGCAGGGGTGGAGGGCACTATAGAGACCCCAGCTAGATATCACCTGGAAACCATAGACGACGAGGAACAAGGCCTCAAACTCCATATGTATCCCAGGAACGCTTCAAACTTGCGGTTTCTCTGACTCAAGTCTTGCAACTTCCAAGAAAACAGGCATACACCACCACACCCAGCTTAGAGGCAAGAGATTTTAAACACTGGTATAGAAATAACCAGTATGTGATCGACTGACTTCAGGACATGGTAGTTTGGTAGGAAAAACATGTATGTGTGACATTGCTACTCCTGAGGTCCTGCAGTCCAGTCCCACGTTCCAAAGATGACTACCATGACCACACCACAAGGCTTTTCACTTCTTACAGGCTCGGGTCTTCATTGGTCTTTCCATTGAATGTCATGACTGGTGTAGAAATGTCATGTGTGTTCTCCGTTACACTGAAATGTTGTCTTCTTTCCATATTGAATTTATTAGGAACTTCAGTCGTGGAAGAATGTTTAAATTTGAAAACATTTTGTCCACTAACACTGAGTCTGGGGTTTGATTTTTCTTGAACTTTCTACCACCTTTTCTGGTGTGTCCTGCATCCCTGGGACAGCTCTCGCTAGTCACGGTGAAGGACCCCCAGTGAGGGGAGACTTTCACTCAAGTCTCGGGGCAACACCCCCCCCCCCAGTAACTCATGCGAGACCGTCCTTGCTGCAATCACACGAGGTTTATTTGACAAGACAGAAACCAGTGTACTGGGGCCGAGACTCATAACCCACGCAGGGGAGGAGTTCGACCCCCAGTAACTGGGAGAAGGGGTTTTTAAGGGAAGGAACCACAGCCCAGTAATCCAAAGAGGGTAGGGAGGGCGTCGTAGAAAATTCCGAAAATACCAGTGATGATCACAAGGGAGCAACTCCCTGTTTCTCAAGATTATTCTGAAGATTACAATCTAACTTTATCTTCAGCTAGTTCCTGAAACAGAGTCACTGAACCGGCTAATCCTAGATTTCTGATTCTTCTCTCCTTAGATTTTTGGCTCTATTTTTTCCTGCTAGGGGGGTCTGGATTTATCCAGGTCTTTCAACAGTATGTGTGTGTTTCATGTGTGCATCCCTGGGACAGCCCTCGCCAGTCACGGTATGTGAGTCTCCCCTGTGTCCTGTTGATTAGGTTTGCTGGTATTGAGTTGAGGACTTTTGCACCCCTGTGTCTTGTGTGTCATTGGCTCACCATGTCTTTGTTTGATTATGGTATCAGGATAATGGTGCCCAGTTAGAGAGAGCTTGGAAGCATTTTCTCTGCAGCTATGCAGAATTAAGCAGGAAGGCCTTTAGTTGGTCATTAAATGTTTGGCAGAACTCACCTGTGAAGCAGTTCTGTCCTGAGCTTTCCATGGACGCACAGTTTCTGTTGTTTCTCCTGACTCACGAACGGTTTGGGGTTTGTTCAGGCCATGACACCTTCAGCTAGGGCAGCTCCAAGGCGGCAAGAGAGAGGTACTGATGGCCACAGGCTATGGCTGTTAGATCTGCCACGCTTTCGTGTCAAAAGCAATAGTGAACCACTGCTTCTCTGCAGGCGCCCGGCCGCTGATGCAGTCTGTGCGGCATTCCCAGTAGGGTCCTCAGTGGGACTAGAAACCGCTGGGAAAATGGAGGCCCCCTGCAGAACAGCTGTGTGGGACTCCTGGGAGGTCACTGGCCCCAGGGATCCCGCCACCGCCTTGCTGATCGCTGATCTACCCCCAGTAGCAACAGGGACCCTCACTGTGCAAGTCTACCTGTTGACCCAGCAGGGTCCCTTCTGTAAGCTCTTAATCTCACTGATAAAAGGTTTTAAAAACAGAGAAGGAAAACTTGCACTGAAACTCGGACACCAAGCTGAGGTAGCAATCTATCTTGTAAAATCTTATGCAAACAAATCCTATTTTTTAATGCTGTGTTATTACCACAATCAAGGTTATATAGTTGAGGGGATAGAGAGTTGGAAATTTTTTAAATTACTATTTAAATTCTAGTGATTTAAATTTATAGATAGGAAACTTTCTAAATTACTTTCTTACCAATTTACACCATAAAAATTGAGTAATGATTGTAACCATAAGGATTGATGCAAAA